CTTTCTGAGCTTCCGTAGGGCGCCTGCACGTTCGCTTCTTCCAAGTCCTCCTGAACTCCACTCGGGCGCCCGTGCGTGAACGAGTGGGAAGTCCCGCTCCCCGCAGTCGTGCGCCTGTAAGTGCGCTTCTACGAAGTCCCCACCTTAGAGCCCGATTGGGCTTATATACCTTGTTGGGCCTTCCTCTCGGAGCGCCTCAGACTCTTTGTCTACTCCGGGGCTGGCGACAAGTTGTGGCGCCCCGGTGCCATGGCTCCCTCGGGCCTAAACCCGGGCCTGTTTGGGCCCTTGAAGAGTTTTCAGCGAAGGTTTTTTTTTTGTCGGGTACCAGGTCTTTTGCAATGCCCTGGTACCAGGCCTCCTTTCGAACCTCGGTCCAGGTCTGTCCTCCCGTGGTCCCCACATGAAAGACACCGGCTTTATAAAATTTCGCACGGCTCGAACACTCTAGTAAATAATCTCATGGTCCGAGGGTCTTTTTCCCAACCTTAGGCCCTGCAACCCTTTTTAGGTCTCACGTACAGCCCAAATGCAACGGTGCCGTGCGTGCTCACGTAGCGCTCTCCCTCAAATTTGGGCCTCGTGGCGAACTTTAGTGTTACCGCTGCTTGGCCCGTTCGAGGGTTCGTCACAATAGTCAGCCCCCTTCATTGTTTCGTCCTCTATCTGACTCTTAGCTTGAGTCGAGCCTTCCAGTTCTCATCCTTTCCCCTGAGCCTCAAACACCTCCCCTTCGTAGTAGTCATTCCTTTGTGTTTTGTCATCGATATGCCTCAATGGTGCGCATAAAGCGACGTTCTCTAAGAATCGTGGCCCGCTCCTTCTCGTCGTCTCACCCTCGACACTTGTTGCGGGAATCTGACACTTTATCTTTTTGACGTCATCTGCGACCCTGCTAAGTAAAGCAACAAAATTCAGCTCTCTTCAGGAATCATCTTCAAGGGAGCCGCCCAACATCGTATCTCCTTTCACATGTCCAACCATAACTATCGTCTCATTCATGTACATACACACCAACAAAAAAATTCCCATGAAAAGTGAAAGATGAAATGTAAAAACATTAATGCATATTTAAAAATTATAATTCCGATGTTCATTAAATTGGAAAATTTTCAGTTTTGTTTGACAAGTTTCCGTTTTCCCATCCAAATGCATCAATTTGTTGAAGATGGAATGAAGGTTTGGACGAATTTATGAAATATTTTAATTAAAATTTCATTATACTGCAACAAATATCTTATAATTAATATTGGATTAACCTATTTATAATTGAAATTCCTTACATAGAATAACAATCTAATTAGAATAATTCATGAACTCATTAAGACTTTCATTCCATCCCTGACATACTGTGCAAACAATAATGGATAACCCATTATTGGAAGGAAAGAGTTTAAGCAAAACGAAAATTTTAAAAAGTGGCATGATATTTTTTTAAACGGAATATATATATATTTTTTATAATATAATTTTATTATGGAAATAATTTTTTTTTTTTTTTTTTTCCCCATACCAATGATTGTTCTCTGACTGTCGGACGTCTTCAATAATAAGAAGCACCATAGATAAGGACACAAACTACCATGGATGAACACGTACATGAGTTAACGACAATATCCACATGAGGGTAGTGATGAATTTAAATGCGTAAAAGTAGGCAGGACATATCTCGAATGTGATAACGAGTATCATAAACATATAGATCTCAATTCACCGTGATTGTAGCAAAATGAAGCGTGTATGTATCAATCACTCAATCTGTTCCTTGTCCTTGACGATTCGTATATATCCGGAAGGTTAACTCTTTCAACATTGAAACCAAAGCATGTGCGACTTATTTGTCTCTCTTGATTCACTAGTACCATTCCAAGTAGGTGCTTCAAAAACGCTTGTTATATGAACATGTACAAACCTTTATGCCAACAATGAAGTATGAATATCTCAAACCTCCATCCACAAGCGCAATACAATAATACGATCAACAGTCAAGATCGCATCACTCATGCACATTTATTTGTTCACCATAAATTAAGTCAAAACAATTATATCATGAGCTAAGGACACTATGAGTTGTTAGAAGCCTTCTCAACGACAATACCAATAATATAAGTCTAGTACATGTACAAACTTAAATAATATAAATCGCAATTTTATTAAACTTTATTTTATCTCATAAACTTGATTTTTCCAAACTCTACGACAATGTCCCATTATCGATCTTTTTGCATAAACCTGACCTGCAAAATAATCCTCATATCAACCTTAAGTGATGTGAAATCCTCCTTTTGCATAAACCTGACCTGCAAAATAATCGATCTTGCACAATGAATAACACATGTCTGTAACTATTCAGACCGACAAATTCTACTCAAAATACTGAATTATACCTCACATTTTATATTATATATGTTATGGAGCGCATTTGATGGTTCAATGAGGTATGAAACTTTTACAATATTATTTGTATCATTATATATAAGTACATGATGAAGTAAATTTTATGAATTATTTATATGAACTTCATATTGATATGTCTCATAATATGGAAGACTATTGTATTTAATTATTGCAAATGTTATACAAATAAAGTTTTAAATTTGTATTTATACTAAACCATATTCAATTTAATTACTTACGTAATAAGATACACGGTATAATATTTAAAAAAATTATTTTATAAGTTTATGATTATGATTTCAAATCAATTTCACATGCAGATTTATGTTCACCACATTGAAACACAAATATTAATATAAAGAAACAACTACACAATTTATTTTATGACTTGCTTAAAAACTACAAATAAATTCATATATAAATAATCATTTGTTTTTTATAATTTTTCTTGGTATCATACAAAGTTCGAATAGATTATCAATTTTATTGTATTATAAAGTAGATCGACGATTTACATTAATAATAAAGTGAAAACAAATAAGTTTTTGTATATATATAACGTCATTTTACAATTTTAAAAATAAAATAAACTCATGTGTATAATGATGTGCTAAAACCGCCACTTTACCCACTACCGAAAAGTGAAATTCCGATGAGTTCGGAGCGGGTCTTTAGGGGGAGCGCCGACTTGGAGACGCAAGCAAGTCTAACCTTGAAATTTTTAGGCACCAACTTCGGCGATTTTTTGTGCTAAAAAAAAAAAAAAAAAATCTGAAAATTTGATATCACGTAGATTAGGATGTGTGATCTTTTTGAGAAAAAAATACCAGAAAAATCAAATAAAATATTTTAGACCATGAAATAAATATCGCACAAATTCGTCATATTTTTTATTTTTGTTAGTCCAACGTGTGGACCAAAGGGAAAAATACCATAACTTTCGTGATTTTTCGTGCTCATAAAAATGCCTTGAAGACTTTGAAAATGAAGAATCTGTAGATCTGGTCGTGATCTTTCTAAAAAAATATTTTTTAAAAATTAAAAAATTATTAGTTAGTGAAATAAATGATGTGTTAATTTGTCTCTTTCTCGATTTTTGTCACTATGCTACTTGTAGGCCAACAAGAAATGTATCCCAACTGCAATAATTTTTTATGCTTAGAAGAATTCATAAACAAATATGAAAATTGAAGGGTTTGTAGATTCGATCGTGATATTTTTGATTAAAAAAATAAAATATTTTGAACAATTAAATAAGTGATGACGACAATTTGTTTTTTTTTTTTTTTTTTGCCAATCTGTTGGGTCTCCAGACTATAATATTTGTAGCCCCCATTAACATGTGTTATTGGTTCCTCTACTTTCACAATGTCATGTAGAGTGTGGTTTAAGTGAGTAGTTTTTGGATTTTGAATAGCGGTCGTCAAAATTTTAAGACAATTATAAGAAGCGCATTTTTATGTAGATAAAAATTATTGAGATGAATAATACTTATTTGTCCACTATAAAATAGATGGTAAATATATATTTATGCAAATGATGTTTATGGATTCATCGCAGGTAATAATGTGTATAATGTATATTGAAGCGTGTTTTAATTTCCGCCATGGATTCCCGAACCGTCTATTTATTTTTGTGAAAACAAAAGCGAATTATTAGACATACGTGAATTTGGTTTTATAATATACTTTTTGCATATTCGATAATTCAAATGTGGCGATTTTATAAATAATGTCATAATATAAGTTATATTTTACGTTTAGTACGCTAAAGAGTTGTTCTTTATTATTTTTTTGTGCAAAAGTTTTAACTCAATTATATAAACATGAATTTATAATGTCAATTCATATTAAAAACTAATAGTATTCTTGCGAATAAAATATACGTGTTATAAGCATTGTTAACAATGTTTTTTATGAAAATAATATGTGTTTCATAATAACTATAATTTTCTGTTAGTTTTTTATATAAAGTTGAATGTGTGTATGAATTTTTTCGAGGTGAAACTGGAATGAAGTATGTAAGTGCATTTACCCGAGGCTTGAGCGAATAGGTGCGAAGGCTTAGTCTACCGAAAAAACACATGAAATTGATCATCCCACTACTACTAAGCCTATACAGGGGACGGCTGCAAGCATAGCTACCTCTTGCAGTCAAGGGGCCGGCCAGCACAAAGACCAAGAATTTTGCTACCTCCCATGTACTTCCCCACCCCCATCGAGTAACAGCAGGGTCCAAGGTAAACATGTCCCACACCCCACACCCCCCTCGTTCAACGCAGTGGACCGGGCAAGGCTGGTATACGCAGCCAGGAGTGAACCACGACAATCCTTTCGTGTTGCTAGACCCCATTTCCAGCAGGTGAAGCTCCCCTCCAAGAGAACGGAGCAACGGCGAGGTCCTAGTAGCAGGGCTTGGGGCCACGACCTCCTGAATGCAACTTGCGTGCCTAACCATCTGAGCCAGGCTGGTTGCCCGGTACTGGCCTACAGCGCCGTCGGTCCCCGACGACTTGCAGTGGCCCCCTGCCTCGCCCCTCGCCTCGACCACGGGCTACCCTCGCCCTCGGGGTATCGCGGTATGCCAGTACATATTCATAAACGCAACACATTGAAAACCTCCAGAGGTAGTGAGCGGCGAGGCGCAGCGCAGCGCAGCGCATCGGCCGCCATTGCTTTGCTGCGCTGTCTCCGTCTCCGTTCTCCGTCTCCGTAGTAGATATTGGCGAATTGCTATCCTCTGTGGCCCGTGACCGTTTTTCGCCTCCGCAGGCAGACTCCTTTCTAGCTTCATCTCGGCCTTGACGGCCGTGTTCGAAAAAATCAGCGAAAATGGTGAGACTGTGTAGCTCGTCTTCCTTCTTTCAGCTATGGCGTGTGTCTGGGAGTGCGTGAACTTCATCCCCATATGTGCGCCTGTTCTTGCATTGTGGTTGGTGCAATGGCTTCCCTCCTTTGGTCCTGACTCACCTTAGCCCCGCAGGCCGAGTCCTGTGTGTCTGTCATCTCAGCCATGCAGAAGACATAGGCGGAATGGTATGAATCTGTAGAGTTCTTTCCTTTGTCAGCTATGGAGTGTGTCTGACAGTGTCATGTTTTTTTCTCCAACATGAACTTCATTTCCCATATTTGTAGCTGTTTTTGCATCGTTCTTTGTCAGTCTTCTCTTAGGTTCTTGTGTGCTTTCTTCGACTGGATGTTGTATTAGTTCAGAGCAACTCATAGCAATCCAGCTAGTGCATGGTGTGCTTCTTTCAGGTATCCATTGATCATTTGATGTTTTGTGCCCTAAAGTACTGAACGAATGTTAATGCTTTGCTGTCGTACAGGTTAAGTTTACGGTGGATCAGCTCCGCGGTATCATGGACAAGAAGAACAATATCAGGAACATGTCCGTGATTGCCCACGTCGATCATGGTACGTAAAAGCTAACTATTCCCAAACACTGAAAACGAACTGGTATAAACATCCCAAACACTGAAATCCGGCCGCTATAAACACTCCAAGCAAAAAAAACGCACTGGAAAGAACATGTGATGGGGAGAGACGTTGACGTTGGTGGGGAGTTTTGAGGAATGTTTGGAGATACGTTTTTATCCCTCTCCTCGTCGGTGACGTCCACAAGGCGGGGGTCGTGTCACTACCACGCGACGGCGCCCGGTCATCCCTTCACGGGTGTGGCCGGTAGCTGGCTGGCGCTGGGTGGGAAGTCCAGCTGCGCACCATGTCAAGGAGGGCAGAGAGATTGGCGGCTTGCGGGCGGTGGGGGGGCTGTTCCAGCTGCTCAGCATGTCAAGGGGAAGGCAGAAAATGACGGCTATGCTCAGACCTATTGAGCTAGTTGCCGCTTGCTGCGGGTGGGTAGTGTTCCACAAGCTAGCTTCTGGAGCGGTGCTCATATCGGTCGGGCGCTCTTGGGGTCGTCGCTCTGGAGATGCCGTGTACTAAAAGCTGTATTGTGCCGGCTGTAGAACAATAACAGTGTATGTGAAACTTAGTGAAAGGTCGGCGCTTATGAATGTTTGGTTGTTTGTCAATTTGTTGTATTGCGATGTTGAGGTATTGCTATGTGTGTTGGTAGCTATTATATATTATGTCAATGTTATTGCTTGCCTTGACCGAAGGCGACGGCTCGAGAGCACAGGACGATGGCGGCGGTGTCGGTGATAGTTGCCCTAGTTTGTGTTTTGCGAGTGGGCGCACACAGTAGTTGATTGCAGGCGGAGAAGATGTCTCTGTGTGAAGTGTTCAGATCTGTATATGAGGGTTACGGGTGTGGTGTGACATTTGAGAGCGAATCTCAACTCGGGCGGGCGTGGTTTCCCGGTGTACGGTTATTAGACTTGTTTGTGTTTTTGCGAAATTGTGTATACGAAGAGACGCGCCAGGGAGTGTGTGTGTATGTTGTGCAAAGAAGTCCGTGATGGTTTGTCGAATGAGACTTTGCTGGTGGTGTGTTACCTACGTCGGGGTCTTACTGCGTTTGCGGGGAATCGTGTGTTTTCTTCGCGAAATTACGTGTCGGGCGGGAATGATTGCCATGCAGTTTCTTCTGTGTGCGGGTATGGAAGTGTGTGTGTTAATTGGTGGAAATAAGAGTGCTGATGTGTTGTATGTTTGTGGCGGCTGTGATTTGAATGAACCAATGAATCAACTCTGAACAGGGAAATGAACAAGTGTGTGTAAATTGGTGGAAATAAGATTGCTGATGTGTTGTATGTTTGTGGCTGGCTGCTGTGATTTGAATGAACCAACGAATGAACACTGTGAACAGGGAAATCGACTCTTACGGACTCGCTTGTGGCGGCGGCTGGTATTATTGCGGCGGAGTCTGCCGGCGATGTTCGGCTAACCGACACTAGAGCTGATGAAGCGGAGCGAGGCATTACGATCAAGAGTACGGGAATCTCGCTGTACTACGAGATGGCCGACGAAGCGCTCAAGGCTTACACCGGTCAACGTGACGGTAATGAGTACCTTATCAATCTTGTTGACTCCCCCGGACACGTCGACTTTTCGTCCGAGGTGACAGCTGCCCTTCGTATCACGGATGGAGCCTTGGTGGTCGTGGACTGCGTGGAGGGAGTGTGTGTGCAGACCGAGACCGTGCTTCGGCAAGCTCTGGGTGAACGTATCCGCCCCGTGCTGACTGTGAACAAGCTGGACCGATGTTTCCTTGAGCTTCAGCTGGAGGGGGAGGAAGCTTATCAGACCTACCTGCGTGTGATTGAAAACGCCAACGTCATCATGGCGACGTACGAAGATGCACTGCTGGGGGATGTGCAAGTGTACCCGGAGAAAGGAACGGTGGCTTTCTCCGCCGGTCTTCACGGATGGGCGTTCACGCTGACGAATTTCGCGAAGATGTACGCCTCTAAGTTCAATTTGGACGTCAAGAAGATGATGGAGAGGCTTTGGGGCGAGAACTACTTCGATCCGACGACGAAGAAGTGGACGAAGAAGAACACGGGCTCGGCCAAATGCCAGCGAGGGTTTGTCCAGTTCATTTATCAGCCGCTGAAGCAGATTATCTCGGCCTGCGTGAACGATAAGAAGGATTCGTTGTGGCCGATGCTTACGAAGCTTGGGGTGCAGCTGAAGGCGGACGAGAAGGAGCTGAGCGGGAAGGCCTTGATGAAGAGAGTGATGCAGACGTGGCTGCCGGCGTCCGACGCGTTGTTGGAGATGATGATTTTCCACTTGCCGTCCCCTGCCACGGCGCAGAGGTATCGTGTGGAGAACCTGTACGAGGGTCCGCTGGACGATATGTACGCGAACGCCATTAGGAACTGCGACCCAGAGGGCCCGCTCATTCTGTACGTTTCGAAGATGATTCCCGCCTCGGACAAGGGACGATTCTTCGCTTTCGGGCGTGTGTTTTCGGGCAAGGTGTGCACCGGCATGAAGGTTAGGATCATGGGGCCGAACTACGTGCCCGGGCAGAAGAAAGATCTTTTCGTGAAGAGCGTGCAGAGGACTGTTCTGTGGATGGGAAGGAAGCAGGAGTCGGTCGAGGACGTGCCTTGCGGCAACAATGTCGCGCTTGTCGGTCTCGATCAGTTCATCGTCAAGAACGCCACGTTGACAGGAGAGAAGGACGTCGACGCTCATCCCATCCGAGCGATGAAGTTCTCCGTGTCGCCCGTTGTGCGTGTGGCCGTGGACTGCAAGGTCGCGTCGGACCTTCCCAAGCTCGTCGAAGGATTGAAACGCTTGGCCAAATCGGACCCTATGGTTGTCGTCTCGACGGAGGAGTCCGGAGAGCATATCGTTGCAGGAGCAGGAGAACTCCATCTGGAAATTTGCCTCAAGGATTTGCAGGACGACTTCATGGGAGGGGCAGAGATTAGGGTGTCCGACCCAGTGGTGTCTTTCCGGGAGACGGTTTTGGAGAAGTCCTGCCGCACAGTTATGAGCAAGTCGCCCAACAAGCACAACCGGCTGTACTTCGAAGCGCGCCCGATGGAAGAGGGTCTGGCTGAAGCCATCGATGATGGCAAGATTGGCCCCAAGGACGACCCCAAGGTGCGGTCCAAGATTCTGGCGGAGGAGTTCAAGTGGGACAAGGATCTTGCGAAGAAGATTTGGTGCTTCGGACCTGAGACTACTGGGCCCAACATGGTTGTCGATATGTGTAAGGGAGTGCAGTACCTGAATGAAATCAAGGACTCGGTCATTGCAGGATTCCAGTGGGCGTCGAAGGAAGGCGCGCTAGCGGACGAGAACATGCGTGGTATATGCTTCGAAGTGTGTGACGTTGTCCTCCACGCTGACGCCATCCACAGAGGCGGCGGGCAGGTTATTCCAACCGCAAGGCGTGTCATGTATGCCGCGCAGCTCACGGCGAAGCCTCGTCTCTTGGAGCCTGTCTACCTCGTCGAAATCCAGGCACCTGAGCAGGCTCTCGGCGGAATCTATGGTGTTCTCAATCAGAAGAGAGGGCACGTGTTCGAGGAGATGCAGCGCCCGGGCACGCCCTTGTACAACATCAAGGCGTACCTGCCTGTCATTGAGTCTTTCGGGTTCTCTAGCACTCTCCGCGCCGCCACCTCCGGCCAGGCCTTCCCTCAGTGTGTCTTCGACCACTGGGAGATGATGAACAGTGATCCCATGGACGGGACAACCCAATCTGGTGCAATTTTGCAGTCCATCAGGAAGAGGAAAGGACTCAAGGAGCAGCCTACGCCCCTCTCCGAATTCGAAGACAAGCTGTAAGCGGGATAGAGTGCTGGAAACTGGAGAGCGGTCGAAGTGGGACGGGGAGGGTGTATACAACCTCCTTGCACTATTTTGATGGTGGTCACGCTGCTTTTTCGTGCACAGTAGATTATTGTTGTACTCAGGCATGCAGATTGTTGATATTGAGAGTATTGATTGATAGGATGTCGAAATGAGAGATCAAAGAGGTAAATAGACCGGAACAAATTCGTGCGGCCCAACTTTTAGGGTGTTTGATTTGCCTGTTGAGATGTGATGATGCCGCGTTTTACCAGGATAGGTCCGCTCCTATAGCTCTGTATTTTTGTGTGTATGTGTGTTTGTCTCTCAGAGAGAGAGAGAGGTATTTTTGTGTGTATGTGTGTCTCTGTCAGAGGGAGAGAGAGAGAGAGAGAGAGAGAGAGAGGAATGAGTTTTGATATTTGACGTTCCTGTTGAGAACTGCGGTTGCCGCGTTTGACCAGAGGGTTAGGAAGGGCACGAGCATGCTCTGGTTTTACTGCGTCCTGACGATTTATTGAACTTCCTTGAATTTGCTGCTTCCATCACGAGTGCGTTTCATCTTAAAAATGCTTTTGTCGGTGTCTAATTCTGAAATGCCAAGCTCACTTTTTGTCGTATGTTCTGGTGGCCCGACTGTCTGGTCATTTTTACCGGCCGGGTTGTTTGCAAGGACGAAGAGATTGACGCTCTCTGAGTGCAGTGCAAACATGTTGGCACGCCGCGGGGGGCAGCAGGTCACAAGGAGCACTCACTCTTGCTGGTTGATCTGTAGTGTACCTAATTGTCTGTGATGAAGTCTTAAAAAGAGTACCCTTGGATTGGTACTGAAACGTAGTAACCGCATCAACGCACCACCTCATTCAGTCCAGTCCACTCTTCGTAGCCCTTCAGTAAAACACATCCATCAGCTTACTGATAGACCATGATATATCATATAGATGTTAACACTGCCGCATCCGAATGAACCTGACCCATCCTGCAGACCACGATGAAGGCCGTATCTACTATCACTGCCCCCGTGTGGTCGTTCGGGTGATGAGAAACAGAAAGTGTGACGGCCATCTAGTGGAGTGCTGTAACGTCGGTGCGCGGTCAGCTATATACCCAGTGAACCCGCGCACCCCGCACTGACGTCCCACCACTCAATTAGATAGCCATCACACTTTCTGTTCACATCCGCTCCCCTTGTTATAAAAGTAAAAAACATGAAGTCCTATGGAGCTATCTAAAGTAGTCTCGTTGGCTGTGGGTTCTCTTTTTTGCGGCTAGCGGCTGGACTTCGCCTCGTGTGGGTGCACATTGACGGCCGTGCGGGATTATTTTCGCTGGCAGGGCTACACGATGAGTATAGACTCGGAGAAACAACATGCAAGATGTATTATATACAAACATCAGCACACACAGACGTCTACATGCACACATACGCAGGGATGTGTTATGTGTTGTATACACATCATCGCACGCATACGTACACACGCACAGAAATAGGCAGGGATGTGCATGCATGCAGGCGTATAGACATAAGGAGTCACATGCTCTGTTAAGCTACAGGACGCAGAGTAGTATTAGCGGTGTCAGTATTTGACAGTATGCTGCTTATCTGCGTGTGTGTGTTGCTTTAACGACCTGACTTTTTACTGATGTGTTGTCTTGTGTCTGGTGTCTTGTTGCCTAGCTTGTGGTCTCCGATCATCGGCGGAATCTATGGTTGCTTTAACGACCTGACTTTTTACTGATGTGTTGTCTTGTGTCTATGTGTCTGCGTGTGTGTGTTGCTTTAACGACCTGACTTTCTCCCTCTGTTTGCTGAGGTGTCACTGATCATCTCTTACCTTGCCACCCTCCTGCATGACTTTTCTGCCTTTTTGTCTGCTTCCCCCCTCTTGACTAGATCGTTTTGCGGATTGTCCCCTCGCTTCCGTGCTAGCTGATGGCCTTCCCCTGGTGTATTTTTGCCCGGTTTACCTAGTTTGCCTTTGTTTGTTGTTCCCACAGCTGTCATCTGCAACAGTTTGAAGTGGACTGGGAACGAAGCATGACTCTGGGGCGTCTCCGAAGACTCCCGGCCTTGCCACACCGCTCTCGAAATGTGAAAAAGACAAGAATGTGGCGGGCGCATCTGGCCATGTTCTAGCGGGAGGTTCATTCTCATTTTGCACATTCCGAGAGCGGTGTGGCGATGTCATTAATTTTACGAGTCACGAGGGAAGCTTCAGAGAATGTCACATGCTTAAGGATATGGTCCGTGTACGAATGAGGAAAGGCATCTGCACGCTTGCAGGCGCACACTCACACGCACAGTCGTAGACGGACGATATTATCAAAACCATTTTAATTTGTGTGGTGGCTGCGACTGTGATCATGTGGATGGGTGGAGGCAAGGTGGAGGGGCATTCCTGGGACCTGTTTTTTTTTTTCTTGCAGGAGCTCTGTAACACATTGAACGTTTTTTTTTCTTCTTTTTTTTTGGGTAATGTGAAACATCTGTGGCAACCTGCTATTGGAGGTGATACGAGTATCCTCCACCAATAGCAAGCCGTCCAATCTAGTGGTGGGGAGCGTCACGTGCTGGAAACCGGGTCCAGCGTCCCACTGACAAGATCGGATACAATATATCTGGCAGATCAGCATTGATTGCCCTCGCACGAGGGGATCGACTGTCCGCCCATTTATCAGCCCTAGGTCACAGCATGTATCTAGGTCTAGCCATGGGGAAGGTGACAAACTGCCTCCAATCTACCGTAATCCTTCACAGTCATAACCGTGCATGACAAACCCTAGGCCCCCCTCTCCGTGCGTAAGGTCGCAGCCAGCTCCATGATCCTCATTTTCCAGCAACGGAGGTTGTCAGCCTACCCTCCCTTATCCTGAGCTGTTCACCTGACGAAGATCATTTACACGTAATTATTATTATGAAGTTACTGGCAGAGGTTTGCACCATTCACGCCATATATCTTTATCATTATTATCCTTATGCAACTGCCCTGCAGATCCCCTGCCATTTCGCCAAACCCAGCTCTGTCTGTCCCTTGTTGGTTATCCTATCTCCTCCCCCTATCCAGTGTCCACCACCAGAACGACAAACCAACCTCTTGCCCATTTCCATCAGACCACCCACGCAGTGCCAGTCACTAAATATGCCAATCGAGACTAGCAACAGAGAAAAAACAGGGGGAAACCTTGGGTCAAAGAAGACTCCCGACAGGTGACGTTTTTGCAGGAGTGTGTTCGAAACACAACACACATTCAAAACACTGCTAAACCCATCGAATCCGAACCCTCCCCATCGAATCCAAACCACCCCTGCGATTGTACCACGTCGCAGCTCTGGGGGGGAATGGCCAACTCCTGCGAAATCAAAGGGAGCCCTGCCGGCGTCATCATAGTAAGGTAAATCATCACGGTAAATCATAACCTATGATGTCATTGCCAGCATCAGTGTGCTGGGTAGATGACGAAACGATTGTAAAAAAACTTTCAGAACAAGCGGTAGAACCAAATCACCTACCTCCACCGATGTATTGATGTCGGATGATGATGATGATGCGTTGTGATCTTCAGCGGACTGTTTGGTGAGAGAGTGAAACGGATGTCAACAAATCTTCCCAAGCAGGTGCCCAGATTATCTCCATTGTTTGCTACGACAGATTGAAACCGACTGCCAAATGATGATGACACCATGAAATCCTCCCGCCCAGATCGCTGCCCTTACATCTGTCAAATCTCCATTGTTCTTACATCTGTCAAATCTCCATTGTTCGCTACGACAGACTGAAACCGACTGCCAAACGATGACGACACCATGAAATCCTCCCGCCCAGATCGCCGCCCTTACATCTGAAAAATCTCCATTGTTCTTACATCTGTCAAATCTCCATTGTTCGCTACGACAGACTGAAACCGGTGTCCCGCCCAGATCGCCGCCCTTACATCTGTAAAATCTCCATTGTTCTTACATCTGTCAAATCTCCATTGTTCGCTACGACAGACTGAAACCGACTGTCATACGATGCCGACAGTGCCCGACACCAAGAAATCCGCCTGCAATTCGTCACAATCCTGATCAAATGGCTGCAGTTGCTGGACACAGCGGAATATTCGGTGATGTCACTGTTGTACATAATGGTGTTGTTATTGTGGATGTTGTGATTGATAATATGGCTTTTATTGTCGCTGTTGATGCGGCGATTGATAATATGGCTTTTATTGTTGCTGTTGATGCGGCTCTTGTTGTCGCTTTTGATGCGGTTGATGTTGTTGCTATTGTTGTTGTTGTTGATGTTGTTGATGCTGTCGATGTCATGCTATCTGGTGGACTGCCCACGTTTTTCCTTGCTAGAAGCCCGGCAAACATCTCTTTTACCTGCGTTAGCATCCCGGCGCACTCGTGTAGGGCAGTCGGCGCCTGTGCTCCATCATTCATATCCAGGTGTCCAAGAGCAATTCCTCCTCCCACCCGTCATAGATCTGCTCTGCCTCCAATAAAATATCATCCTGTAAGTTGCCATGTTCTTGACTCAGCACCGCGTGCATCTCCTCCAGCTGTTGTTTATACAAGGTCACAATGGACAGTGCGGAATCTGCCTCCATGGTCTGCAGGTCAGGAGGGGTTCCCCACAACCCCCCATGAGACAAGATCTCCGTGCCCATCTCTGCCATCGCTGTTGATGTTGGAAGCTGCCACCGCTGTACCACAATCTGTTGACAATTTCACAGCTGGCGGTACCCCTGTCCGAGCGTCGCGGGACACTTACGTCACCAACTGCAGCCGCCACATGGCAATGAGGACGCCACGCGCGTGTGCCGGGCGCACGTACAGACCTAGCCTCCAGCCATTTTTCCAACACATGGAACGTTTTGATTTTTCTTCTGATTGATGATCGTATGAAGGAGCTGTTTCGATTTTTCTCCCTCCTTTCCTCCATTCCTCTTCCGATAGGTGAGTAGCAAGGCACGCACATCGAGTGCAACCTGTTTCGAAAACAAAGGCAGGAAAAACGAAGTCCAACAGTAAAGAATCTTGCATTCCTATTGAATATTTTGAGTGAACCGTCTCCCAGAAGAGATCCTAAAATAATTGCTTTACATTGATCCGACAAAGATATTTGTTTTAATTTTTTACGAGACGAATTGATTGCTGACCTTTTCTTTTCATTATCCTGTCGCTGTCTATCATTACGAATACGTAAGTGGACATGAAGCATGTGAATCATGTACTGTCCTCTGAACTAACATGCGCAGAGACGGTCGGCGGAGCGATAAACCTCCAATCACTGGCGCGACCGCTCGGCCGACCGTCTCTGCGCATGCAGCGCATATGAATCATGTCCCATTCTCTGAATCCACACCTGTCCCATTCTCTGAATCCACACTTGTCCCATTCTGTGAACCTAGACTTGTGAGCCTACCTCGGGATGGACGTCCAAGCTCTGGTGCGACCGGTCGACCGACCGTCTCTTCCGACGACGCCCATGGCACCCTGCCCCGTACCTGTGGACCAAACGGTAAGCCCGCTACTCAATTGAACACTGCGGGGCGTGGGAGCGGAGCCCGGCGGTCGGGTGGACGCTTGGAAGTGAGAGGCGGTTGGGGGATGTG